CGGTGCGGGTGATGGCCAAGGACCTGGTGCGGACGCGGCGCTACGTGCGCAAGTTCATCGCCATGCGAGCCAACGTGCAGGGCGTGGCGCTGCGGGTGCAGACCCTGAAATCCAACAGCGCCATGGCCAGCGCCATGCGCGGGGTGACACGGGCCATGGCCACCATGAACCGGCAGGTGAGCGCACCTGGGACACCCGGGGACACACCTGGGACACCCGGGGACACACCTGGGACACCCGGGGACACCTGGGGACACACCTGGGGACACCTGGGACACACCTGGGGACACCTGGGGGACACCTGGGGACACCTGGGGACACCTGGGACACACCTGGGGGACACCTGGGGACATCCAGGCCATGGTGACACCACAGACACAGACGGGAGGCACCGAAGTCACCTGCGTGTCCCCACTGCCAGCCTGCTGTCCCCGGTGTCCCCTCAATGTCCCCTGGGTGTCCCCTGGGTGTCCCCTGGGTGTCCCCTGGGTGTCCCCTGGGTGTCCCCAGTGTCCCCAGTGTCCCCTGATGTCCCCGATGTCCCCTCCCAGCTGAAGCTGCCCCAGATCCAGCGGATCCTGCTGGAATTCCAGAAGCAATCCGAGCTCATGGACATGAAGGAGGAGCTGATGAACGACGCCATCGACGACGCCCTCGGGGACGAGGACGACGAGGATGAGAGGTGGGGACACCTGGGGACACCCTGGGGACACCTGGGGACACACCTGGGGACACCTGGGGACACTTGGAGATACCCTGGGGACACCTGAGGGACACCTGGGGGACACCTGGGGGACACCTGGGGATACCCTGGAGATACCTGGGGACACCTGGGGACACCTGGGGACACACGAGGGACACCTGTGCGTGGGGACAGGGAGGGGACAGGGTGTCAGGGCTGTCCCCGTGCCTCAGTGTCCCCTGTCCCCGCAGTGACGCCGTGGTGTCGCAGGTGCTGGACGAGCTGGGGCTGAACCTGACGGACGAACTGGCCAGTGAGGACTGGGGGATGCGGGATTTGGGG